CCCCCGCCCCTCCCCACCCGGCTCCCTCAAGTCTCCACGAACGGAAATGGGAGTCACAGCGCCGGGGACCAGCGGAAACAAAACACAGAGGCGGCCGCGGGGGGGCCGCTGTGGGGGAGAAGGCCCCGGAACGAAGCCGGCCCGCGCGGACCCGCGCTCCCCTCCTCCCCAGCGGCCGCACTCACCCGCTCTGGATTCGGCCCCGTCGCCCCCGCCCGCAGTCCAGAGCCGGCTGAAAACCGCAGCGGCGCGGGCTCCACGTGCGGCGTCTCTCCCGGTAAGACCCGCAGCTCCAGCGACTCGAAGTGAGAGGCCCCTGGGCCCTTCCCGCGAAAACGGCGCAGAGAAACTCCAACCCCCCCTCCCGCCTCCCAGGCACCCCCGGGTCCGGGACTACAACTCCCAGCAGGTTGCGCGAAACGAACGCCCGAGGCAACGGAGGCTCACGAGGCACAAGGGAGCCCAACGCCCCAATCCGCTTTGTTTTACACTCTGTCACTTTGCCTGCACAGTCGTACACCTCAACCACCCCAAGGAAGAGGACGCTGACTCGGGGCGGTGGGGATTGAACTAGGGGAAAGGCCAGTCCAAGTGCGCATGCGTACATAACAAGGTTTCCGAGAGGGAAAAAGAGAGCAGGTCAACTTGGGAGAAGGAAAGATGGCGGAGGCGTCGCCAGGGGACCCGGAAGCACTTACCCTCCACTTCCTTCTCCTGTTTGGCTTCTGTCTCACCTAGAGCCGTCCGGTCGCCGACTGTCTCCGAGACGCTTCCTGTCCGGTGAGTGTCGACCGACTGAAACGGCGGCCCATAATGCACTGCGATGGCGGGTGTGGGGGGGGGGGGGCGGGCGGAGCCAAGGCCGGAAGTAAAACGGTGGCGGCGGCGGCGGTGGCTCTGGCAGCTCGGCACCGAGTGCAAGGTGACTGTGAGGGTAACTGGACTCACTTGGCCTCTAGGGACGAGCATTCTGGGTTTCTTCACGAGGTCTGGGATGCCTATCGCCTCTGCCCTTCTGAAAGAGCAGCCTGTATCCTGGACACCTTCACGGTCTGGTCCGGAGTCATTGCTGACCTCGGCGCCTGTAGGCCTTGAAGTTTGCGGTAGACTCAGTAGGTAGCCCTGATAATACCGCTCTCAGGGCCAGCCTGACGCTCAGGGTGGCGTGGGAGGCTGGGGGGCCGGCGCTTCGTGGACCCGCCGCCCGGCTGGGGCAGCCAAGGTCATGCCCGCGGGGCCTGTCTGCAGCCAGGCCTGCTCAGCCCTGGCGCGCGGGCGATTGTTCTGAACTACAGCTTTTAAAAGTAGAACGTAAGAGGGGAAAGGATAATAGTAATCTTAAAAGTTTGCAACTCACCTAAAAACGTTGGTGGTGCTAAAACTTGGTTAAGCAGCTTTGTTTTACATCACGGATTCCAGGAGGGAAAAAGAGCCGGTTAAGTCAGGCGAGTTGTGGATTGACTTCAGCAATGAATATGCGCCGAATTCGCAGCGAAAGGCTGGTCAGTCATCATTGTAAACGGGAGAACCGTGCTCCCTCTCAGCACAAGGCCGCCTCTTACGCTGTACCCTTTTCTTGCTGTTGCCTTCCCCAGTCTTTCTGAGTGTGTCAAATCCCTATCATAGGCTGGCGTGGCCCCTCATAGTACTCGAATAGAGAACTTAATCATAGTTGGTATTTTATACTTATTTGTGTAATAACATGTATCTTTCTCACTAGATGTTTAATCAGTGGGGAAAAAAACGAAACGGAATAAAGGAAAAGGAGCAAGTTTTGATAGTGAGATTATGTGTTCATTTTTTAGATAAGTTGAATTTGAGGGCCCGGTAGGACTTAGGAAAGGATGAGAGCTGTCGAATGTATAGGTTTGGAGTTCAGAAAAAGACCAAAATTAGAAGTGTGATTTGGGAATCATTCGTACTTAGATGATAGAAATAGAAAAAATGAAAATGGGTTTTACCCATGTTGCAGTAGGAGTAATGTGATCTTTGCAATGTTAGACTTAGAGCAAATTAACTGTGGGAATATGAATAATTTAAGCACTTTTCTTAAACATTTTCTTATCTGTAAAGGAGGGATAAGAACACCTTCCTCTGTTTCTTCACAGTATTGCCATAAGGGTACAAGGAGAGGATATGTCTAGAAGTACTTTGCAAAATACCTAGGGCTGAACAAGTGTTAGGTGACCACATTGCAGAGTGTTGTGTGTCTTTATGTTGCCAAAAGGGAAAATATACACTGAATTGCACAATTTGAAAAATATGTTTGTGTCTTGTCAAATTCTACTGTGTAACCTGGGATCAGGTACTTACCTAAGCCTCAGTTTCTGTGTAAAATGAGAATGCTATTAAGTGGCACCTTAAGGTCATTTGTTGTTTGTTTGGAGTCTCCCCCACCCCTTTTTTTCCTCTGATGAGGTATAAGAGTGATGTATGATGAAATCTTTAATTTCTTCAAATAGTTTTCTTTCATGCTGGCAGGTGAAGGATATTTGGTTGATTGTAGGATTTCTTTTGGTGGTTTTTATGTGCAATTTCAGGGCTTCTCAACCTTAGCACTATTGACATTTTCTACCAGATATTTCATTGTTGTGGGCAGGCTATTGTTATTATTGTTGTTGTTGTTATAGGATGTTTGGCAGCATCCTGGTTTTTATCCACTAGAGGCCAGTAACACTCTCCACTATCAAGACAACCAAAAATGTCTTCAAACATTGCCAGATATCTCCTGGGGGATACCGCCACCTGTATTTGAGAACTGCTGTGCTACTCCACTGTCCTCTAGCTTAGTGCTTTCCAACTCTCATTAGTAAAGGGCCATTTCCCCCTCAACCCTTGTGGATATTTTTGAAGAATACAGTAAAAATGAATTACTGGAAAAATTAGTAGATGAAAGACAAAACAATGAAGACACACAAAATATGAACTCTTTTTTGTATTATTAAATTCAACAGATATGAATTACTCTGTCAATTTGCTGTAAAAGTTTCTAAATGCTTATTGCCAATTTTGGTATTACTATAGACCAGTAAGGCAATACTACCACTGGTCCCCAGACCACACTTTGAGCTAGTATTATAATTTAATAGTAGTCCAGTGTCAGTGAGATGATGCTTATTGTTATTGTTGTTATTAGGTAATTTGGGGGGGGCATGGGAATCATGTTAGCATGTTGGGTTTTCACTTTAAGGTTCAGAAATTTTACCAGGCTGTATTGAGGTGTGAATCTTTATCATCATTCCAGAAGAGTTTGGTAAGCCCTTTCAGTTTAATCAGCCTTTCTTCATCTTGGGCAGTTTTTTCTAATTATTTATGGTCTCCTTATTTATTTCTTTTCTTTTGGAATTTCTGTTTGCATACTTTTTTTTTTTTTTGCATTTGATCTTTTCAGGGCACTAAATGAGGTCTCAACTGAGATCATCCTCTAATTTATACACTGTAATTTTTTAGTTAGATGACCATGTATTTTAGCTTCAGGAAGTCTGGGACTTAGAAGTCTTTAAGTCCTTATTTTAAAAGTTCAGACTTTCCTCTCCTTCACAAATTTTATTTCACTGATTAGATTGTACTGCTTGATTTTTCCTCTCTTGTTGGTGGGCTCCCTTAGACTAGTTGCTGTCTTCCTTGCTGGTTCTTTTGGACTTAGATTTGGTTTTTACAGTGTCCTTGAATGTCTAGAATCCTGCAGTTGTAACAAGCAGAGCAGTTTCTTTCCCTGTGAGCCCGGGAAGTAGAAACTGAGGCTCAGGCAACTGTCTCCAGTCTCCTTGCACAGCTCCCTTTTTGCCTTTTGAGGGAGTCAGGGAAACCTGGTACGTTAATTTGGGGATCAGTATTATTCTTTTTCTGCTGAGGGTGGGCAGCCAAGACTAATAAATTCACGGAGAAGAAAACATCATATCCCAGATTCTGAGCTTTCTTTCTGCGTCTGACCCTAATGGAGCCACACGCAGGCCTGAGTGGTTCCTAACTGCTGCTAGGTTCCAGGGCCTTTTGGTTAAGAAGCAAAAAACTTGCAGTGTGGGGTAGAGAGGGGAAGGGAGCTATGGTCAGGTGACTGTTCTTAGTGTTTTCTGAATTCTGGTATGATTTAAGTTCTGTAGCAATTAGTAGAATTAGATGCCCACTATAACATATTAACAGGTGTTTTACAATTATATCTATTTTAAAGTATCTTCACATTCTGGTGCTTGTTTCCAGTAACAGAATCACCATGATTCTTCAGAGGCTCTTCAGGTTGACCTCTGTCATTCAGTCTGCAGTCTCGGTCTCTTTGAGGAGGAACGTCGGTTTTACAGCAGTGGCATTTAATAAGGAACTTGATCCTGTCCAGAAACTCTTCGTGGACAAGATTAGAGAATATAGAACTAAGCGACAGTAAGTGGGTAGATAATCAACTATGGTGTACGTGTGAATATTCAAAGTATGTAAGTTTTGAGATGGTAATAAAAAATTACTTGGCGTTTGAAAGTGTCTAAGACCTTCACTGAGCTGATCTCTGTCATAAAGGTTCATTACCTGCTCCAAAGAAGATGAGAATCTTGATTTTTTTTTTTTAAGTCCCAAATTTTATCTTCCTTATATGGGTTCCAAGGGAGAATCCCATTAAATCTAGTGCCATTTTAGATATATCCCTACTATAATGTCATTTATTATAAACTAGAATCAATTCATACAAGTACTTGGGCTCTTAGAAATCATTTAGGAACCATATTTGAGAAAACTAAGCCCCTTAGACATTGATTAGCCTAAGGTCATAAAACTAATTGTGGGGAAAACATAATCAAAATATTCTCTCAATTCAGTGCCCTTTCTGTGACATCATGATTTGGGGGAAATGTATAGACACAACATTTTTTCTTTAATGCTATTTCCATATTTATATATTTCTGGGAATATCAAAAGACTCCTGCTTTATGGCATAAAGCAAGTCCAGGAGCAACATAATAATAGAACCACACAGTTTTGGAGATGAATGATGACCTTAGTCAGCATCAAGTTCAACACCCAAATCTTCAGAAAAGTGATACAGATCAATTCAGAGTTTTGTTTTATTTGGTTGTCTACCATGTGCAAAGCGCTGGACTGTTAACAGTGGTGGGCTACAAAGAAAGAAGCCACTTTGCATTTACACAATATTCTTTTTCTTTTTGCGGTTCGCGGGCCTCTCACTGTTGTGGCATCTCCCGTTGCGGTGCACAGGCTCCGGACGCGCAGGCTCAGCGGTCATGGCTCACGGGCCTAGCCGCTCCGCGGCATGTGGGATCTTCCCAGACCGGGGCATGAACCCGTGTCCCTTGCATTGGCAGGCGGACTCTCGACCACTGCGCCACTAGGGAAGCCCTACACAATATTTTTTAAGTCTGATGGGGTAGAAAGTTTCTAAGCAAGTAAATACAATATAAGTTTAAATAGGTTAGATGCTAAGAAACTCATAGGAAGAAATGCTCCTTTCTAGCTGGTGCATTTTGGAAGGCGGCTTGGAAGAGTGAATGTTTCTAAAAGCTTGTGGATCCCAGAGCTGGACAACAGTCATCAAAGTATCTGGTTGAAGGCTCTGTCTAGAACTGAACTGTATATCTCTGTAGCTATTAATCACATGTGACTATTCAAATTCTAATGAAGTGTAAATAAAAATTCAGTTCCTCAGTTGCCTTAGTCACATTTCTATTGCTCAATACCAGATATGGCTACTGGTTACCATATTAGATAGCACATACATAGAGCATTTCTCTTATCACAGAAGGTTCTATTGCACATGCTGATGTAGAAGAAAATTGGGTCCATAGCAAGAAACATCATTAACAAGTTCTTAAATTAGAGCTGGCTCAGTATTTTTTTGTGGAAATTCTGTAGCATAAATAAGATCCTATGCTTTTATGATAGGCATGGGTGAAAATATTAGCCTCGATAGAATTTTCACTTATAATTTTTTTTATTATATTCATTGATAAGTGGGCAGTAACATTATGACAAACAGAATTTGTGCAAACACTGCTGGTCCATGATGCTATATTTATCTTTCCAAAGCACAGCTCTAATTTTGTCATTTTATTGCTTAGCAAACAAAATACAAACTCCCAGGCTTAACATTCTCGGCCTCCTGTGATCTGGGTCCCGCTGGCTTTTCCATCTAGGCTGTGTAGTGTTCCCCACGTACAGCCAGTGCTTTACCACCTCCTCATCCTTGCTTTTTCAGTCTTAGAATGTCTCAAATTAAAATCTGACCCAAATGCATGGTTTGTCACAAATGCCACCTTTTTAAAATGAAATTTCCCTGTTCAGCTTAGCAAAAGTGATCCCTCAATTCAAATAGCTTTTTGTTAAACTGTGTCTTTATAGGTTATTACCTAACTCCCTTACAGCATAATTGTTTATAAACATGTTATTTTTTTCTTCTAAATGGCAAAACCTCTGGGGGTAGGAAGTAATTTGCTTCTTTGTTAGGCCCCTATTATAGAGACTTAAAGGTTTTGAATGCCGTCCAGTGGTGGTTGATTTAAATCATAGTGATAGTAGATAACTGAGTGCTCACTTGTGCCAGGCACTATGCTGAGTGGTACATATACACAATCTCTCTTTCTCTCAACGCCACCATCAGGTAAGACTTCGAGTTGTAGATGTAGAGGTTAGTTCACACGGTTTGCTCTAGTTCGCACAGTTACTAAATTGTAGAGCTGATGCTGAAACGGAAGCAGTCGTTCACCCCAGACCCCGCAGACTTGGCCATTATACCTTATTGCTGCTTAGACCCTGAGAGGTTGACTTTTAATAAGTATCCTTGATACTGACAGACCTTGAATGTTAGAGGTTTGTTTGAAGTTGCTTCATTTATGTGAAACCTCGTAATAGTTAAAATAATTTGAGCTGAAATTCAAGTGGAACTGCTTGTTATCTTTCAGAAAAGTCTGCTTTTCACTACATTTAGAAGATCTATGAAACTTAATTTTGTTTTTGTAAACTAATGCTTAAAATCTGTTTTCAACTTGGTCGTTTACACAACAGGACATCTGGAGGACCTGTTGATGTTGGCCCAGAGTATCAGCAAGAACTAGACAGGGAGCTTGTTAAGCTTAAGCAAATGTATGGTAAAGCGGACATGAATACGTTCCCTAACTTCACATTTGAAGGTAAGTCTTTTTAATCACAGATTCATTGTTGTGGGAGATCATTTTAAGTGGAGAATATTTATACTTACTGGGTTGTGTAGAGGATTAAATGACAATTACATGTGAATTTATTAGAACAGTGACATGTGCATGGGAAGCTTTGGGATAAATGCCATTGGAGTAGGAGATCACATAGCATAGAGGTTAAACCGCAGGGATCTAAAATCAAACTCCTGACAATATCACTTATGAGCTGTGTGATTTTGGATAGTTAATTGGTCCCTCTTTCTCATCTGACATTTGGGGAGAATTATGCTGTTTTCCTCATAATGATAGTTGTAGTTAAATGACATAGAGAGCCTGGCTCACTGTAAGTCCTGAATAAATCTTAAGCAGTTGTTATATTTCCATGTAGATGTTTCTTTAAAAAATCAGATTGATGAGTTAAATATTAAAACTTTGTAGAAGATGAACTTTGTTGCAGTATGGCTAAGGTTGAACCTTTTTTTCCTCTTAGATCCCAAGTTTGAAGTCGTCGAGAAACCACAGTCCTAAAGAAATAATGTAAAATTTATCTGGTAATTTGTCCTAGATTAATTGTATAACTGATCAGAAGTAACAGAATAAACATATATTTCACAACTGTCATATGTTCTTTTAATTCTGATTTCAAAATAAATTATTTGGTGGTGTTGGGTGTACACTTGAGTGTATTGAATTCTGTGTTTTTAGATCCTCCCATTTGGTTATATCAAAGCAGATGGAGACCTTGGATTAATTGGGTACTACTTGCCAGATTCTTCTGAGTGCAGGGGTGTCCTTTTTGTTGCGGAGACTTACTGCTGGAGGGGAGCCACCCTGACTTAAGGAATGTTTGCTGTGGAGAATGTTATACCCGTTCCCACAGTATGAAGAAATGGTTCATAAATCCTTTTTCATAGCTTTTTCAGGAAACTCAAGTGTGATTGTGAATATGTCCAGGAACATCCATTGTGTTTTAACTTCCATCTCCTCATATGTTAAATGCTTTTATTATCCCAGTAACTCAGGTCCCTCCTCTTCCCTTGCAGTGTAATGATCACAGTGTCTATTATGGGGCTATATGGATAGATCAGGGGGAGCTGGGAGCTGGGGAGGGGAGGGTTCTACAAAGGAATTTCCTTTAAAATATTAAGCTGTAGGGCTTCCCTGGTGGTGCAGTGGTTGAGAGTCCGCCTGCCGATGCAGGGGACGCGGGTTCGTGCCCCAGTTCGGGAAGATCCTACATGCTGCCGAGCGGCTGGGCCCGTGGGCCCTGGCCGCTGAGCCTGGGCGTCCGGAGCCTGTGCTCCGCAACGGGAGAGGCCACAACAGTGAGAGGCCTGCGTACCGCAAAAAAATATATATATTAAGCTCTATGGTGGTGTTTGCCCAGCTGATGGAAGGTCCAGCAGATACGATGTGCCAGAGAAGTGGCAGAGCAAGCACATCAAAATTTCAGAGAGTAGATGGTTTTATTTTTAATTATTCTTTTTTAAAACAGGAAAAGCAGTTGTGCCTTTTCTATCTGACAATCTCTGACTTATGTCAGTAAATACCTGTCTTTAGTAAAGCTTTAAGAGATTTTCTTCAAAAATGTGAAGTCAAAAATACAGCCTTTCTTATGAGGTTAGCTCACTTCAAAAGAGAAATAGATTTTTACTATGGCATGCCATACTAGCTGAAGTCTCAACCTGGTGACGAATACCTTTTTCAAAAGATCCATAAATATTTCCTAATGGTATAGGTGTGATTAGTAAGATATGAAGAGATGGAATTGGGGAGGGTAAAGTAGTGGGAAGAAACTGCCCAGTTTTCTTCAAATGAAGCTAAGCAATGATGGGTCAGTTGGACTACTTTTAAATAGTTGTAGACATTGAAACAGAATTTGATGTTTCATTATGGCACCATTAAAGGTAACCAAGGAAGCCTCATTGATCAATTATTCCTTTGTCTATCCTCCCCTCCCCTGAAGTGGCTCTACTCCACCCTCCTGTGGCAAGCAAGCAGCCTGGGGTCAACAGGGACCCTGCCAGTCTAGGTGGAGATGGGCTGACCCTTTCCGTTCATGTTTCCCTCCCCAATTCAGAGTTTAGTTGAATTTTACCTTTTATAATCTCACACCTATTATCTTCATAAATTTTTTTTGTCAGTCTCACAACTACTTGGAGTTTGCTTGAACATCCCAATCTCTTCATTATGTAAACAGAAGGACTCTATTTGTGGCTTTCTGCAAGAATACTGTGTTAAGCATCCTACTCATGCCCTACATCTTAGGGCTATGCATTTAGCTAAATTTTGACCAGAGAAGTGCTCTTGTTTTTTCCAACTGAATGCTGTAGTGCTGCTTTGAGTCATGGATGTTAACCATTGCCCCATCTTCCTCATAGCCCCTTCAACTTTCTGGTAAGGCTGCCCCAAATTTGCAAACTCCAGCCTTTATCTGTTACTTCAGCCTGCAAGAAAGTGGTCCTGCACTTATCATTTGGGACCACCTTATATGTTATTACAAATGACCTCAACCTTCTAGGCTTTTAGCTGTTTAAAATGGCATTTTTCTCCCTTGCCTGGTGGTGTGGGCTGAATCGTGTTCCCCTAAAACTCGTATGTTGAAGCCCTAACTCTCAGAACCTCCCAATGTGATTGTATTTGGGGATTGGGACCCTTAAAGGGGATTAAGTTAAAATGAGGTTGTTAGGGTGGGCTTGAATCCAGTCTGACAGGTGTCCTTATAAGGAGACTGGTGTTCTTATAAGGGCATATTTGAGTTGAGGAAAGGTACAGGAACTGGATATGGACATGTGCCTGCCTGTTACGTGTCTAGTACTCCCTTTAATAATAATAGCAATAACCAAAGAGGGCTTCCGTTCTAGGCGATTTTTACTCAAATCCATTTAGTGTAGAATTTTGTTTCTGATTGTTGCTACCCTTGGTGTGGCAGGCCTATAAATGCTTAACTCTGGTTAGATTCTTAATGTATGAGTTCTTGGAAGGCTCTGAGGGCTAGAAAGTTTCCTCATTATGCAGATTACCTTAAATGGGAGGTCTGACCCATCTCTTCCAAACTCCCCTCAGCTCCCACCTCAATGGTCCAGTTCACAGACTCTTATTTCAGATGTTTGCTCTCAGACACTGGCAAGAAGGCTCAAGGCCAGCTACTTTCAGATGCCTACTTGACCACAGGAAACACACATCCTTGCCCTGAGACACAATGGGAAGATAGGTGCTTCACCATTTCCCCTGCTCTCTACTTTGATATCTTTTTCCAACTCTCTTTTCACTCTACTCAAATAGCTCTTTGCTTCTTGGCATGTGCCTTCAATTGTTGCAGGTGATTCTCTTTAAAATTCTCTTTACTTGCCTTGGGGGTGAGTTGGGAAATAGAACTCACAACTTTGACAAACTCACACGACTTGGACAATTCATTCTCTGTCTCTCTCCATTGCTCCCCACCCCCAATCCATCCCTACACACTTCAGTTTATGGATTTTGTGTGGTGGGGTAAAGGGGAGAGGACCAGGGTGATAATTTCAGGGTAGCACAACTGTCTCTTCATGAACATCAAAGCAGGTATTTATACCCAAATTAGTTATGGGTTTCTTTAGAAAGTGAGGTACTTGTCAGCCTTCAGGCAACAGGAAAAATCCCAGTCGACATTCTGTTACATGAATATGTCTTTACGTATAAAACTTTTTCTAATTCTTTTTGCTGTATGTTATCCTAAAATTTAGAAAACTAAGTTTCTTTACCTACAAAAACTTCAGTATAATTCATGGTAGTTAAACATTTGGAAGGAAAGGAAGCTTGAGAATGAAAAGTTAAATGGCAGGGGGCAACTTTAGGAATCTAACTACAGGTCGTAAAAAAGTCTCAATTTTTACACCGTCTTTAAGAAGCACTTTTGTGTAGCACATTCAGCGTTGAAAACAGATCATAAAATGGAGCTTTAAAACCATCTGCCCTCAGTCTTAAAGAAGTTAAACAAGTCCTTTGTTGACACACTATTCATTTGTTTTGAGAACACTTTCTTAGTAAAAAGTATAAAGACATACTCTAGTATGTCTTACTTTAAAGTAGAAAAATATTTTAAGATCTTTTAAAGAACTGTGTGGAAATAGATGCCTAATAACTAATAGAAGTAGAATAAAAGTCATGTCTGTCCAGCCTTAATTCATGGAGCATTAATTTGTGTGACTGCATAACAAATGAACTGGATTATAATAACACTGCAAAATACAGTATTAATATTCTAAATCTATGGAGAAATTTTATCAATAAATACTCTTTAAATTGACCTTTCACAAGTGCTCTTTTGATCTTAAAAAATTCATTTATACTTACTGGATACTGACTACACATTAGATACAGTTAAATACTTTGGGGCTTATAAATATGTATGTAAAACGTGGCTCTTTTCTCAAAGTGCGTCTATTAATAGATTGGTGGTGATGCCAGAGATGTACATACATAACTGTATTAAGAAATATAAAACCAACAAGTGCCATAAGAAAAACAAGTGCTATGGAAATTCAGAGAAGGAGGAAACTTCTTCCAGAAGGGAGAAGAGGGAAGGCTGCATAGAGAAGGTGGAATTTGAAAGATGTCCTGAAGAGTAACTAGAATCTACATATCTTGTGATTAGGAGAATCAGCTTTCCAGGTAAAGGAGGAGAAAAAAAGGGTCGTTGAGATACAATGACCTTAGTTCAGTTTGAACATGTGGCTGAACAGGTAGGTGTGACAATATGACACTGTGTGTACGTGGGGGGAGGCCCTGAATTTCAGGCTGAAATGTTTAGACCTTGGTGAGAGACTATGTAGAGGAAAAGAGTGAAAGGTTTTTAGCAAGGGGATGGGAGAAAAGGGAGAAGGGAGTTCGCTGTTCAAGAGAGTAATCTGGCAGTAACTGTTAGACTGATGGGGTATGTGAGGGGGAGACTAGAGGGCAAAGGAGCCTTCAGGACGGGAGAGGTTTAAAGTGCTACCAAGTGTATATATGTCCATGCCATGCTCTCACTTTGTCCCAGTTTACCCTTCCTCCTCCCTATATCCTCAAGTCCATTCTCTAGTAGGTTTGTGTCTTTATTCCCGTCTTACCCCTAGGTTATTCATGACTTTTTTTTTTTTCCTTAGATTCCATATATATGTGTTAGCATACAGTATTTTTCTCTTTCTGACTTACTTCACTCTGTATGACAGACTCTAGGTCCATCCACCTCACTACAAATAACTCAATTTCGTTTCTTTTTATGGCTGAGTAATATTCCATTGTATATATGTGTCACATCTTCTTTATACATTCATCTGTTGATGGACACTTAGGTTGCTTCCATGTCCTGGCTATTGTAAATAGAGCTGCAATGAACATTGTGGTACGTGACTCTTTGAATTATGGTTTTCTCAGGGTATATGCCCAGTAGTGGGATTACCTAATGTAAAATAGATAGCTAGTGGGAAGTAGCCTCATAGCACAGGGAGATCAGCTCCGTGGTTTGTGACCACCTCGAGGGGTGGCATAGGGAGGGTGGTGGGGAGGGAGACGCAAGAGGGAAGTGATATGGGAACATATGTATATGTATAACTGATTCACTTTGTTATAAGCAGAAACTAACACCACTGTAAAGCAATTATACTCCAATAAAGATGTTAAAAAAAAAGAAACTAAAAAGTAAAACTAA